CCGCTCAGCTAACGAAGCGGTCTCAGGCCCCGGTGCCCAGACTGGGAAGGAGGGAGGGAGGGAGGGAGGGAAACTCTAAGGGGGGAAGGGGAGGGGGGGAGATGGAGAAACCGTCTCCGCCGCCTCTACCGCCGCGGCCGCTTCTCTGTTACCCGGGAAATCCCGCCCACTCCCCCGGCCCGCCCCGCAGAGGGAAGACTCCTCTACGTTCCGCTACAGGACGTATTATCCGCCCGTCAAAGGTTGAACCAATCACAGCGTCCAGCCTACCGCCTTCCACCCCCAAGCCGCAACACTATTGGACGAAGCAGGAAAGCTCTTCACGTCTCATTGGAGAACACCACACATCCCGCCCCACAGCGTCTCAGCCACAGGCCTCACAAGTAGGCTCCCGCCCCCGCCGGTCATCGCATTGGAAGGCCACCCCTAGCTCTTCCACCGCCCCAGGAAGGTAAGTAACCGATGTGGGGTAAAATGTCCGTAAGCGAAACAGGCTCCTCCCACCACACTGCCGGTCCAAGCTCCGCCCAATAATCGGATTGGGTGGCTTGGCGCCGGTAGGAGCCTCCATTGGTCAGGGCGCCTGTCTAGGAAGAAGCTGGTCCCGCCCTGCGCGGGGAGGCTGAACCTTAGCAGTCCTTTTGTGGAATGTTTACACTAGAGGCAGAAGCTCAGAGTTCCAGGGCCCGAGGCAGGCGGTGGCGCGGAGCTTAGAAGCCGAGACCCGACACCCTGGGACTTGAAGAGAAAAGACAGCCCACGTTACCTGGAGGACACCGGTACAACAACAACAAAAAAGAAAAAAGGAAAGAGAGCCTTATCCTTCTCATCCAGTTATCTTTACTATTTACATTTCCGCAAGGTGCCTCCTTGTAAACGGCAGCACGGTGCTGTGAGCCGAGTACAGAACTAAGGTCTGGACACCTAAGGCGAGAAATAATCCCAGGGGTCGTCAACCGGCCTCGGGGGAGATGGCTGCACACTTCTACTCCGACACTCCCTAAACCTGAATATGCAGCCCATAGGGGGCGGAGTTAAGCACAAGGAAGGCGGACCTAACTGCCACCGCCCTGGCAAGCCTCCGGAAGGCGGAGCGTCAGGCGAAAGGTATTTGCGATCTCCCGGATCTCGAGGCATCCTTAGACTCGAGGAACTGAGAAAGGAGAGGAAGACTAAAGCAAGCCTCCGCAAAACTGAACCTTAGCGATACGGCCACTCTCAGAAGGAGGATAAAAATCCAGAGTTGGAGACAAAAGATAAGAATGACTATTCAACTCCTCCTTGTTCAAGTGTTAATGACAGGCCCCCTCTGTAGGTAGTAGTGCCTGGAGCACGCAGAAAGACAAATTGCATGTGATACCTAGGTTGCTTTTATTAATTCACCATTTAGGGCGTGTGTAAACCAACGCTGGCCTTGCTTTAGGGGACACTCCAAGCGCCAGGAGAGAAGGCGGGAGCAGACTCTTCCTGCTTTCTCCAGCAAAAAAGATTCTCGCACACAGAAAGTTGAGACCAGGATCAGGTCCTAGGAAACCTACTCTCAGGTCCAACACTGCCTCCCTCCGCAACCCAGCAGAGACGGCCAGAAGCCAGCACTGGCAACAGGTGGGCCTGACTCCAAGGATGGCTTCCAGCCGCAAAGCCATGGCAGCGAGCTGTGAACTCCACAAGTAGCCGACAGGTGGGAGCAGCCTCGCCGGTAGCCAAGCCCTGCCCAGCCCCGTGACAGAGACCTAAAAATAAGTCAGCGCTCGCGCTCGGAAGTTATGAGGAAGGAGGACCGCTGCAGAACAGACCGAAAGCTACCTTTAATTCTGGGCTGTCCTCTCACTCGCCCCCACCACACACTCACACAGATGCACGGCACGACACACTTTCACCTGGACATCAGACACCACTCAGATCCAAAGCCAGAACTATTCTGTCCCGACTTCCCTTGACCACTGTGGGTGAGCTGCCCTGGATCCTGAGTAAGGCTTCCAGGTCAAGCCTAGGGTGTCAACGTTTTAGAAACAGCCTATTAAGGCCGGCGACTGGCTTGCCTTGATAGAAAACACACTGCCAGCATCTGCAGAATTCTCGAGCTTCAGCTCGAGGAAGTCTGCTAGGCAAGTGTAGAGCATTC